ACTCCATGCTCCTCTCCCAGCCGACTTGATTTTCTTGCGTCGTGGGCTGGACATACTCCTTCCCAAGCTGGCCCTCGTCATCCAGCGTCTGTCCACCTTTGCAGAGAAGTACAAGTCACTGCCCACACTCGGCTTCACCCACATGCAGCCTGCACAGCTCACCACAGTAGGCAAGCGCGCCACGCTGTGGATTCAGGAGCTGCTCTGGGATTTGCGCAACATTACTCGCGCTAGGGAGGATCTGGGTTTCAGAGGCGTGAAGGGCACGACGGGTACGCAAGCCAGCTTCTTGCAGCTCTTTGATGGTGATCACGATAAAGTGGAAGCGCTGGATGAGAGGGTCACCCAGCTGTTCGACTTCCCTTACGCCATGCCAGTCACCGGACAGACGTACAGCCGCAAGGTCGACATCGATGTCCTCTCGCCTCTAGCGTCATTTGCAGCCAGCGCCACCAAGATGGCGACTGATATTCGGCTGCTGTGCCACTTGAAAGAGATTGAGGAACCTTTTGAGAAGGATCAGATTGGTAGCTCGGCCATGGCGTACAAGAGGAACCCTATGAGAAGCGAGAGGGTTTGCAGTTTGGCGAGGTGGTTGGGCAACATCCTTCACAATGCTCACGAGACGGCTGGCGTGCAGTGGATGGAGAGGACTTTGGATGATAGGTGAGTCGAACGGGATGCAAGGACACGACGGACCAGGCGATGGAGAGCCCAGGCATGGAGCGGGTGACCCTGGCTGGCGGCGAGCTGACGAGCGCCTCTCCCGCTTGCGCCTACCGCAGCGCCAACCGCCGCTTGACCATTCCCGAGGCATTCTTGACTGCCGACGTTCTGCTCACGCTGCTGCAAAACATCAGCGAGGGCTTGGTCGTCTATCCAGCCATCATTGCTCGCCGGATCGCTGGCGAGCTGCCGTTCATGGCTACAGAGAACATCATCATGGCAATGGTGCGAGCAGGGGGTGACAGGCAGATTTGCCATGAGAAGATCCGGGTGTTGTCTCACCAGGCGGCTAGCGTGGTCAAAGAGCAAGGGGGAGAGAACGATTTGATAGATCGAGTCAGGAAAGACGAGTACTTTGGACCTATTCACGCGAAACTGGACTCCCTTTTGGACCCTAGAAGCTTTACAGGACGGGCAGAACAGCAGGTGGACAGCTTTTTGCAGAAGTGGGTCGAGCCGGCTCTCCAGCCGTATAGGGAAGGATTCAAGGATGCCAAGCAGGCTGATCTGGCGGTGTGATAAGACGGCTTGTACGCGGATAGACGAGGGCGACACTCAAAAGGGCTGCCACGTTTCAAATGCCGATCCGATTACATGCCTGGGGGCGTCCTCTGAGTACGCACGCAGCGCACTCGCTCAAAACCCAAGAACGTTATTCTCGGGCTTGCCACACATCCGCCATTTGCAGAACAGGGGTAGTCAGTAGTCAGTCAGGTGTGTGGTTCATCGCGCAAATCAAGCGTCGAGGCCTCGCGACCATGTGAAGACTACTGTGCAAGGCAGGTGTGTGCGAGCTGGGAGCCGAGTGAGTTGATAATTCTCTAGCATTCTAATCAGTAGCAGGCGCCTAGTCAGCAGCGATTGGCCCGCCTTTGATAGCCGAAGGTGTGCAAGAAGCAGCAGACCTACTCGAATAATGAGCGCCCCGTTCATGCGAAGCACGTCTGCATCGTACGCCTCCACAGGACTTCAGACGATTTCGAGACCAAACGCTCGCGTCATGGGTAGCACAGCTCGTCACTCACTGTACTTTCAATCTCAGGCAGCATGTATCGCAATCAGACTTGGCAGTGTGTATTGCGATCAGAATTCAGAAGGTGAGCCTGTCCAGCAAGGCGCTTTTTGCAAATGCTGGTGCTGGATCACGATCTCGAAAGCTGTTGTGGAAACCGCACGAAGCAACACTGCAGCCGTTCGGAAGGTGCAATCGCACTTCAACTCTTCGACTGGACACACCCTCGCCCTTCTCGCTCCAACGCCCCGCCTCACAACACCACGCACGTCTTTAGACCTTCCAAATCGAACATCACGATCAGCAAGAGCGTTTCTCTTCCAACTTGCTAAAGAGCTTCACAGGAATTCAGAAGTCTAGGAAAGCGTTGTCCGGGACAAAGTATACTGTCAGCCTTGGGGAGCATGGGAGTATCGGCCTTTTTGCAAGTCTGGCGCCTTTGACAGGCCTTCGACCTGCTCCGTTTGGGTTTGATGTTATTAACGACGCCTTTCGTGAAGAATTCGATGCCCCTGCATCGAGCCCATCGTAGGCATGCCACTCTCGCCGTCCGCGACCCGGCACAATCACGGTCAGCCGGTACTGGATTGACGATTCAGATTCACGGCTGGTGAGTTGCTGTGATGCGTACGAGTGTACGGGAACTAGGGATGCACAGTGTAGGTCACGAAACATTCACATTTGCGGGACATCTGACGCCCGCTTCTGGCACACATACCAGGGACGCAGAACCCGGAGCCCGTACCGAGACCATGTACTCTCAACGGACAAAATTAGGTGTGTAGCCAGCGCCACATCATTTGACTCCTCGGGTTCACCTAACAGTTGAGTACGCACAAAGGTCACGTGCACGCCAGCGCCTACTTCCACTTTGAGAGTGCGCCGAGCATGTAGGCAGTCCATCAAAAGTGCATGGACCCTGACTGGTCCACAAGAGCAGATCGCATCATCTCTGTCACATGCAGCAGTGGACTACGTCACGCAGCAGTTGCTTGGACAGCTCTTCCGTCTTGGAGCTGACAGCATGACTGATCAGCAGCGAGTAAAGGGAATTGTGCGCCAAATGCAACACTGAACGCAGGTTCACCGCCTTGCTTTGCGCTTTGGGGCTTCTGTACGCCCAGAAATTTCGACCGCGGTAGGCAATATCTCAGCGGCTCGGGCCTGCTCAGTCGCTGCCGACAGGCCTGCAAGTGTGAGTCGAGTAGTTTTACCGGTCACGGCGAGGCTTCTGCTTTGCATGAGCCTCTCACACTTCAGATACAGTTCTGCACGTCAAGAGGAATAGTCTTTAGTGTGCGCGAAGTAGATCGATGCTACAGCATGAGTGCGAGTGGGCCTACGTCTCGTCACTGGGCGACTAGCACGTTTGCCTGAGGTAGCGTATCTGCACCCACGATTAATGTAACCGCTCGAGAACAAATTGGGGACCCACTCGCCTGTCATCTAAGGCCGTCTACTCGGAACGCGCAATGTGGCCTGGACTGCTCGCCAGTTGGAGCTTGGCAGGCCAGTCAACAGCTACATCTCAGGACTCTGCATGAAGCAATCTTGAGTCTGCCAGTGCCTGCAGACCTGGCGCGTGGCATTCGAACTCTGAACATGCTTCTGATCTGCCAGGCGTCAGCGGTCAGATACTTCTTTCGTTCCGGGCAAAAAGGTGCCATGCCACACTTAAGCCTCAACGCCACTTTGACGAAGCGATCCGGGAGCGAGTCTGGGCGAAATCATCAATCAAGCACTGGTTAGTGATTGCACATACGCTCGAGTACGCCATCAATCGTTCCGGAGCACCCGCTGAGGCTTCTACTAAAGACGCATATCGAAGACAGCCTGTGATCCATGACGCCCTCCAAGCATGCCCGGCAGCATTGAATAACTACGATGCAGATAGGGGGAGCCCTTCTTGATTGTGAGTACCGCAGCTTCAGTGCTGCGGTGTTTCTCTTCGCACGCTGTGGCGTAATGTCCGCTCTCTCGATGCGGGACCGCCGTGACTAACTCCGCAAAATGCCCAATCACGCCATACCGTCGCTCGGAGATTAGACTGTGTCTGTAGCCCCTTAGACAAGCTCGCTCATGGCCATTACCACTCGTCGTGGTTTGGAGGATGGCGATTCTCCTGAAGATACGTATCTCAGGCGAGTAGTGGAATGATTTGGCGACGCACGAGCGCGGACCATCGACCACTACCTCCCAAAGGTCTTATCTCCCAGGGCGTTGTAGGAACTGCCAAGCGAAGCAAGCGGAAACGGTCGCTCGCACTGCTTAGGGTTAGGGTTGGTGATGAGCCTGGCACATAGACCGAGCCATACAGGATCTACACAGTATGTGTCACTGCGATCAATCGCATGAGTGCTTTCATATCCGTCCATAGGCATCACAGTACCGTCGCATAAAATTGTCACCAGGTCACCAGCCAGCGCCAGCTCTTCCGTCCTTGGCGGAAAATTGCTCTTTGTAATTCTTTCCTCGGTAGTCAAAGAAAAAATGTTACCGGGAACGGGAGGGGCGGCAGCTGCACAAATAGACATTCTCTTCCCGAGTCGAGAGATTGCTACAATTGTCGACATCGACATTTATGTCGGTATCCACTTCCTCGTGATTCCTTGCGCGGGACTTAAATGACTCCAACTTCGACGACCGCAGTTCCACGCATCCGGCTCAAAGTGGGCCGATGATAGTCTTGTTGGTGCCGCTTCTACCAAGCAAAGCACACTATGCCTGCAGGGTGTCCGCGCGGATCCGAAATATTGCGCCTCGACGGACCGTTTTCCCTTTACAATTACAGCACCCCGTCGACCGCTGATTGGCGTTCTCGGCACTCGCAATTTGCCAAACATCATCTTTACAGGGCACCGCCGCCTCGTCTTGCTGAGCGTCCTCATTCCTCAAGGTGTTGAGTATTGATTGGTGTCCGCCATCAGAAGCGAGGCTCGGAGGATGCGTAGAGGAGTCCGCGAAGACTGCTCGTCGAGTGCCGCCTGCCGATCCCGCGAGCAAGTTCGGCGTCAATTCCGCCCACACTTGGCGAAGCCATGCGCAGCCTCCTTGACCGCACCAAACGACTCGCCCTTGGCTGCGCGGCCTGAAAAGTGGCAGTGGCACTCACGAGTATTCAGGCGTTATGAATGTTCGTCGCTTTCCTTGCGACCAGGTGGCCCCTCTCTGCTGAGCTCGTCGGCCCGCTATAAGAGCGAGGTCAGCGAGGACTGCCACAGTGGCATCCGAGAGGCCCCATAGCGCCCTCATTTCCGCCCACCATCATCGCGCTCGAAGCTGGCCTTCATTTTGTCGCCACCCGATCTCCCTCTCCCTCAAGACACCTTCAGTAAATATCCAAAGCTGGTCTTGGATATCCTCTCCTACTCGAGATTCTCATTTCCCTCCGAACCGTGCCGGCACTGGCTGCCTCGCACCTCATACTACTCCATTCTCTCTCATCGCGCACCGTGCGCGCGCCTGTGACACATAGGCTATAAACATGAAAGTCGTTGGCACTTCTTTGCTCGTCACGCTGTGGCTGCACTTGATTTATGCTGCACCCGTCCCCCTTCTCCAACAAAGTATCGACGCGGTCGACCCCTTAGTGCAACGTCGTTCGTCCCCCATTGAGGACGACGATGCAGACCATGCATCCTCCAACGTAGCCCGCGACGCAGCTTCTGGCTACCCCTCCTCCTCCTCCTCCGCCCTGGTGCCTCGCGACGATGATGTCCTCCTGCAGAAGCGCCTCGGCGGTTTCGTGAGAGCAGCATCTTTTGGAAGACAAGCTGCCACGCCTACTGGCGTCGCCACCACTCAATTTAGCGACGATGTAGCCAGACAGTCTCTCAACCGGTTCGGCAAGAGCGGCAAGGGCCTGTGAGTGCGGTGCCAAAGGCGTCTGTTGGTGGTGTCAGAATTGTTGTCCCTATGTGGCTGACCCATACACCCTTCTCGGCCAATCGCGAGCAGAAAACGAGCTGCCGCTGCAGCGCTGTTCGCCGCTGCAGCTACTGGTACTTACATTGGTCTGACGAATCGCGACAAGAGGAAAAAGCAAAAGAAGTTGCAGAAGCAAAGTCCGCAGTCTCAGCAGCAAGCCAAATCGCTCTACGGGTCGGACGGCGGCAAGAAGAAACAGTCTTCGAGTATGTTTGGCTTCCACCGTCGAAGTCTGTCCAGTGACGACTCTTCTTACGCTGACTCGGATGAGCAGCTCGAGAAGCGCCTCACTATGCCGCTCATGCGCGGTGCGATGACCAAGCTTAGCACCGCTGGCAGCAGGATCGGCGGCGCGGGCACCAAAGTCTACAACAAGACCAAGAGCCCAACGGAATGGAAGAGGACCGCAGCGTGAGTGTCGAGCCAAACAATGACAGAAAGTGACGCTGAGCCGTAGCTCTCACCATCCATTTTATCCAGTGCGACGACGTTGGCAGCTGGTGCCATCGGCGGCGGTTTTTATGCTACGTATCATTACGCCACCGAAGCTGACAAGAAGCAGCATGCGAAAGAGAGAGCTGCTTACGATGCTCAGAAAGCGGCATACGACAAGCCAAAGGCGGAGTACGAGGAGCTCCAGAAAGCGACCGAGCAAATGCAACGCGATCTTCCCGAGGAGCACGTTGACTTGATCCACCGTCGTTCAATTGGCCAAGATATCTCCGACGATGGCCACAGCGCCGCTCATCTCGAGAAGCGTCTCGGCGGCATCACGAGGGCTGTTTCTCGTTGGGGAACCAAGAGCAAACCTGCGTACCCCGAGCTGAAAGAGACAAGCCTCAGGGCCTCTCCTTCGGCTGGCAAGTGGCGTGCTGAAGGGTGGAAAGCCAAGGCTACGTAAGTCGCAGCACAGGTCCAAGTCTCACGCTTAAGATCGCAAGCCTGGGCTCATGACCGGCATCTCTTGCTTTGACATCTCCGCCATTTCCAGTGGTGGCGTCCTCGGCGTGGGTATACTTGGCGGCATAGGATATGGCGTCTACAAACTGGAAGATGCCCAGAAGAAGGCTTGGAAGAAGGAGGTGAAAGAACAGCAAAAGCTGCATCCTGCTAGTCGTCGTCGGGACCTCTCCGTAGAATCGGTCGACTTGATCGGTAGGTCCATGAGTCAGGACACGCCCGATGCGGTCAACGTTGTCGACGCGTCCAGCGTTCGGCTTGAGAGACGTATCGGGGGCGTTACCAGGGCCTCCGCTTTCGTGGAAAACGAGGGTCGGGCTGCATCCACCTCCTTGAAAGAAGTCGGTCTGCAGGGCTCTCACCCTAGTACGGTACGGCCTAAAAAGTGGAAGAAATATGCGTGAGCTGCACCAGAAACTTAGCGGTTGCAAGGCTATGTGTACCGTGCGGGTGACTGACAACCGACAATGTCTTTTCTTCACCAAACTACCAGTGGTGCTGTTGCCGGCGTCGGTGTACTCGGAGGCTTTGGTTACGGTACCTACGCCCTGGACAAAGCTCAGCAAAAGGAGTGGGAGAAAGAGCAGAAAAAGCAAGAGCAGCAAAAGCTGCATCCTGCTCCTTCTCGTCGCGACGTCCGTGACTACTCAGACGCCTTAGTCGATGATCGTGCCAACGGTGACAAGGTCGACTCGAGCGCTCATCTTGAGAAGCGCATCGGCGGTGTCACCAAGGCGATGACTTATTGGCAGAAAACCCGCACTGCGTCCAATATGTCAAGGCAGTCAAGCCTCAGCACATCTTCAAGCTTTGGCAAACCTTCAAGTCTTAGCACGTCCTCGAGCCTCAGCAAATCTTCAAGTCTTGGCAAAGGCTCTGCATTTGACAAAGAGCGCACTGGGTGGAAGACCAAGGCTGCGTGAGTCTCGTTCCAATGACAAGTCTGATTTCCTAGTTCAAAGCTGATGACAATGTCCTCACTCGCCCAATTTTTGCCTAGCGCCGTCACCCTAGGCGTTGGTCTGCACGGTGCCGCTGGCTACGGAATCTACAAACTTGTTGAGAGCACCTCGACGGAACCGAAGAAGCATCAACGTCGCGACGTGTCCCAAGAGTCGCTCGGCTTCGTCTCCGATCGCTCCATTACGGAACTTGATCCTGTTGGCGTGGCTTCTGACCTCACCCTGGAGAAGCGTAGACTCCCGTCGCTATTCAAATTCAACTTTGGCAAGTCCACCAGCGTTGGAGGAAGTAGATTGGCCGCAGGCGGTACCAGGAACGTTGCGACCTCGTCTAAATGGCGCGACAATGTGTGAGTGCCATTTGCGCGCTAGATTGGACGAGACGAGATGCGGCTTGGCTGATGGGCGCATTGCTCCTGCTTCGCTTCTCCCTCCTACGCCCTGTAGTCGCTACGGTCTGGCGATCGGCGGGGGCGTCTTGACAGGTGTTGGGCTCTGGCGCCTCAACAAAGCAGTGAACGAGACGAAGGAGAAAAAGAAGAAGAAGAAAGACAAGAAAAAGTTGAAGCTGCGCAGCCTGACACCGGGCGTGGGGGCTGAAGAGCTGAGCGCCCGCACAACCCAACAAGCTATCGATGCAGAGAAGGTCCAAAAGTGAGCTGGTTCTTACTATGGTCCCCCACGCCAACTCCCAGTCACTCTTTCCTGTAACGCGCCTTTTGCCTAAATATATTAACCGTTCACCCGTCTCCCTCTTTGATGACCATGTTCCTAGCACTCACCTTGTGAAACGCTGGAACGAGGTCGATGCAGGACGCATCTCGGCGCAGACAACTTTCAACGAGGCACAAGGCTGGAAATCGAGTACGCAAACCAGGAACGCGGGCGTCGCCAGTAATTTGTGCGTTTCGAGCTCGTTCCCGCGGGCGCTGATTGTCTTCGCGTAACACCCTCTTCACTCTGCACATTTCCTACCCTCGTCCAGACCAAGCACAGATCCCCATAGGTGAGTCAAGAGGTGCTTCCCAGACTATTTGACGAAATTGGCTGAAGCGTTCCATTTCTCAGTGCATCGCTCGAACGCCGCGCAGGTCAGGACAGCTCGTGGAACCAGAATACCCGGCCCTTGAAGAAAGCGCGCACAGAATCATCGAATGGCAAGGCATCGGCTCTGAATTTCAGCACCATCCTAAAGGCGCCGGCTCGGACGACCCATCCAAACACCATCTCCCAGCGCCCTGCATCGATTTTGAAGTTGAGTGGACTCACTCAGACAAGTCAACTTCTTGACCCGAACGGAAAGCCGCTCAAATCGAGCTTGCGAAGTCGGCGTGGCTTCACGACGCTGCAGGTCAACACCGACAAGCCGAAAACACCGGCACCTGACTCGTTGCGAAGGGAGGGCAGCAGTGTGACCTTCAATCTGCCCGAAAGCCTGCCGAGTTCGCCCGACATCCGAGATAGCCGGCCCGAGAGCCCAGATCCTTTCGCGGCGGCCAGAGACCGGCGAGACCGTCTGCGCGCGTTCCATGCCAGCGAGTTCGAAAAGTATCGCAAGCATCCTGGAGTCGTGTACCAATTCGATGCATTCGGCAAGCGGCAGGACAAATGGCTGGGAGAGGGTGGAAAATGGCCCGAGAAGAAGATCCTGGGTATCAAGAGACCATGGGCCATTGGGATCGGCACCGTCGCATCCATTGCGGTCGGCGGCGCACTTATAGGAGTGGGCGCTCACCAGTCGCGGCGCAGATCTCCTTCCGAAGAGCTTCCTCCATCCGAGCTGTCCCTGATGCGAAGAACGATCCACGGTAGTATGCCGGCACATTCTCACCCGCATTGCTCGTATAGAGCAGGCTCGTCTGTGGGTCTGTGTCCAAGTCCTGCAGAAGCTAGGCGTGATGTCTTTGTAGTGCAAAGAAGAGGCCTCGTATTCCGCTCCATGATTCCGCAATTCGTACTGAGTGAGTAGTCTTGATTGCTTGGCGCGGCAATCTGTGCTCCTTGCTGACCATTGCCCAATCATCCCCTTGCCCGGGTCAGGCAAGGACTCTAGAACCAGTCTCATTAAGCGCGTACCTAGACCCGAAGATGGTTTCGTGACGGCGCCAAGCTCTCCTATGAATAGCCCGCCTTCCAGCCCTAGAGGTGGTGTCAACGAGCACCTCGCCGATTTCAGGGGTATGCTGCAACAAGCAGCAAACCTAAAGTCGACTCAGCGCAAGCCTGCCAAGTTCACCAACAAGCCGGGACAGTCCAAGTGGGTGCAAAAGACGATGCCAGCGTCGGAATTCGTTTTTACTGCAGGAGGGTCTTCCAAACCAGCAGGTGCAGCTTCCAAAGCGGCGGCGTCGGCGGCGCAACCGAAGCCCGCCTTTGTCTTTACAAGCGCAGCGCTCCCAAAGACCGAGCCAGGCAAGAAGGCAGGCAAAGGTGCGCTTCGAACGAGATTGCGCGAGTCCGAGACGGCCACTGATGCGAGGGTGCGCTTCACGATATCGCGAGCAGCTGCAGCAATGTCGCAGCCTCCACCAAGCTTGACTGGATTGGACAAGGGAAAGGCGCCGATGCAGACGGAAGCCAGCACTAGTGGCGTGAAATCGCCAGAGATCCGACCCGCAACTCCCTCGCCGCCAAGACCATCCTTCAACTCGGCCAGGAGTCGCACGGCATCCTTTAGAACCACGCCGCGCTCGCCAGACGAGTTCGATCGATGGATGCGGGCCAACAAACCGTTCATGACGAAGGAAGAGTACGACAAAGTCAGGCCAAGCAGAAAGTGGAAGGGCCGTGTTGGCAAAGCAGCGCTGTGAGTAGTGTGCATTCAGATGGCCAGATGGTGCTCATTTGAGTGTGTCGCTCGAGCGTCGTGCACTGACGTCGACTGGACTGGCCTCTCCCAGCGTATCGGGCGTGGCTGGTATCATCGGCTACGGAATCTGGGATTTGGACCGCTTGATCTCCTCTGAGAATTGAAAGAATGTCGCGAGTTGCTTCGCGGACTGACGAGCAAAGAATGCGTGTGCTCATAAGCTGATGTGCACCTGACTGTACCGAGTCGAGCGCTCTCCTCGGGCTTATTGTATATCTGCGCGGCCTTCGAATGCATGTACAGGGTTCTCAGGTTGGCGTGTACCCCATTCTTGTACTTGTCCTCGGGTGGAATTGGAAGCCGCAATATGATGATGTGCCGACGTGCGCGCGCGCTCTGCACCAGTGCCAGTGCGAGGCTCCGCTTGACTGAAGTGGCAGGGGTTGTCCGAAGCCCATGTAAGGGCGCCCAAGCTTTGAGGTCGAAGTGCATGGTGGTGCAGGGCCAGTGTTGAGCTTCGTCGGACGATCGCGCGAAAGTCCGAGAGGAAGCGCATACATCTAGCCAAAGACGAGCTCCTCGTCAAAGAGCTCGATGAACTGCGAGACGGCCAAAAGAGTAAGCGCAAGAGCCTCTTCTTCGACTAGACAGCCCCGAACAGCCCCACTGACCTGCTCGTTCATGACTCTGACCTTTTGCCCAGCATACCTCCTGTACTCTTCCAAGATGGCGCTAAGACACCACCTCTGCAGCTTCCTCAAGCAGCCAATCACGGTGCCCGTGCGATGTCTTCCCAAGTTGCACATGACCAGCACAGGGTATGTGCTGGGTTGTACTAGCAGATGCAGCGCTTGCAGCACCACATCTTCGGTGATGGGATCCCAAGCATTCGTGCTGTAGAGCACACCCAGGTGGTGCAGCTGGATGCTGTGAGCCGCACAAAAGTCCAAGCTGTGGAGAGGGGGGGTGGCGAGCATCGGTTGGAGCTGAGTAGAGCCCCATGCGTACATCGACATGGACATGGCACCACCCGCATCCGACTTACAAGGTACCATCCGGCTCTTCTGGAGCCAGCCAAATGACGCTCTCTAGACTGAGCGTCTCTAGGAATGGGAAATTGAGCAGGTCTGGCGCACCTGATCTGTACAGGCTGTCCTCCACCAACCCAAAGTTGGGCGGCGGCACTAGCATTCTGCCTGGAGACGGGCTT